CACACACACACACACACACACACACACACACACACACACACACACACGGAAAACCTGAACGAGAAGTGCTTCGTTCAGAAGACCAAGAAACATTTAGAGCAGCTCAAATATTTAAAGAAACAGCTGGAAAATATGCAGACATGAAAATTTGTTAATCAAACAAAAGAAAATATATAAAAAAAACTTCATGCATTATGTGTTAAAAGTCTAAGTTGCAAACCAAACAAAGCACCAAATATGATCTGCTGTAGCAGCAGCACACAAACACACAGCAGGCACCACGCTGACCGGGGTCAGACCCGGCAGTGATGGAGTAGCGGCGGGCGCAGCTGTGCGGCACACCCTGACAACACACACACACACACACACACACACACACACACACACACGGCGGTGGCCAGATGCCAACATTTGAGGGTCGTGTCATCGCTGCAGGAGGGTGTGTAGGGACGAGCACCTGGGGTATGTCAGGGTGTGTGTGTGTGTGTAATTGAGCTGGAAAGCGTGTGCACATTCGCGACAGAGTAGCTAGCACTAACTGCCACAAAAACTGAAATAAACAAAGTGTATCTGCAGATGTTTATTGATTAATTGAAAGAGTCAGAAGAAGTACTTTATAATTCTTCATAACTCTTTGTTTTACACTTCAGAGTGATGGCTCTCCGTCTAAATGCATCACCATTATAGAAATAATGATACTATTTAAACATGGGTAAACACAGGTAAAAGTATGGGAGTGTTCAAGCTAAAAGTACTTAGACATAAGCCTTTTCATCTACAAAAAAAGAGAGAAAAAAATAGGTATAAAGAATGCTGACTCACTTGAAAGGCATGCTGGGAAACTGACACAATTAATGGTACGCTCATGAATCCAATCTGACGTTCGTTAATCAATACAGAAATAGAACGTTTAGAGTTCAAATGGATGAAAGAAAAACTTTCTGATTAATATGAATAATACTACATTTCGTCAACAGCGAGGACGCCAATGTAAGAGATGATTATGTTTACGTTATGGTTACCTGGAGTATTTTACTTGATTTGATTGGACACCAGCCGGCCAATCGGAAGTACTTTCCATGATGGCGTCAGCATGATGATCATGAATTGAATCAGTACAGATCCAGCTGTCAGAGTGTGGATTCCTACTAGTGACTGAGGTTATTAGAGGTTACTAAGCTGCTCGCTTAGTGTGAAAGGTGTGTGTGTGTGTGTGTGTGTGTGTGTGTGTGTGTGTGTGGGGGGGGGGGGGTGATGATGAACGGGTGGAAAGATGGTATCTGGAAAAATATTCGCTAAGTAAGAGGGCAAGCCGCCACCTTTCCTGGCGTGAGTGGTACACACTGCGTCTACAGAAAAACACACTTTTATGTCTAACTTTCACAGATGCAGAGGCAGCCACACACACACACACACACACACACACACACACACACACGCACACGCACACACACGTACCAAAAGCACTAAAAATATACCGAGTATACATGTAATTCCCTGGGCGAGGGCTACATGCAGCCGGTGTGTTTCATTCCAGTGCAGGCTAATAAAAGTGTCCGTGTGTGTGTGATGGAGGGGCCATTCCTTCCAGTCTTTAAAAAGCTCCTGTGGAATGGCAGAGATGAGTCACAGCTGTGGAGACCACCAGTCATGTTTAGTGGCACACAGAGTGGATCGCTCGCTCTTGTATCGTGAACTCCGTCATCGTTCTGAGGCCACGTCTACACCAGACAACACTTCCTGATGCATAAATGCAGAGTGTGTTTTTCGTTCTGTGGACAGGAAATTTGAGCTTTGGATTACAAATCATCAACTTCACAGATGATTGTGTGTATCTGTGTAGTGAGAATGTGTAGAAGCCACATGTGGTGCAGTTCCATAACCTTAGTTTAGGGATGGAATATGGGGGTCACGTGATAAAATGACAGAGTTGCATGAGCCACTTTTTGACTGTACCAATTGGGTCAAGTCCACATTATTAGATTTACTTTATACATCAATACATAAAAACGCAGTGGGTTGAGATATTCAGTGTGCAAACACCAAGTAATGATCAGATACCAGCGTGTTCAAAAGTTCACTTCTCTTCTTCATATTGCTGTGAAAACATTTCCTTCTGACAACTGCATTTATTGAAGTTTCTTGTCAAACGCACCGTAATGTAACTCAATGCAACCCCCGTTCACGATAGCCGTTAGCCTGGTTATTAAGCCGAGCACAACTGTGCTGCTCACCAGCTGCTAACAGCTAACGCTAACTAGCTCTCCTCCTGCAGAGTTCAACACAGATGTGTTGTTCCCAATGTAGCATTATGAGGGACAGAGAAGGGTGAGCGAGAATGCTTAACCTCAGGTACCTGTCTGCACATGTGCAGTACAAACCACTGTCAGGTACAGCATTGGGTTATTGTGTCTCTCTCTCTTTGTCTGCACACCTTCTCTTCCTTCTGCTTCTCAACACACAACCACACCGGCCGATGGTGCTTTAAAGACCATCGCATTAAGTCAGTCTAATTGAATTGGTATTGCTGGACACAACAACAGAAGGGTCTGGCTTCATTCAATTCCCCACAACAGCAGCTGTGCTCAACATAACCAGACATCACTCACTGTCATCAGGAGGACAGACATTTATCCATGACACACACACAGCCGCACAGCTGTGACATCAGCAGATACAAACAGTCTCACACTGGGACACACACACACATGCACGCACACACACTATATTTCACAATAAAAGTCTTGAAAATTCAAAACTTGACTGCATAATTCCAAAAACTCTTTGTGTAAGAAAACAACAGCATAATCACTGTAAAGAAATTAAGACTGCCGTTGCAACGGCATGGCATTGTTCATGAACAAAGCATCATTAAATTTAAGATGCATTTGCACTTGAGTTCAGCATCCACTTCCTGTTCTGTGACATAAAGGAACCCAATGACAGGATTCAAGAATGATTAAGAGCCAATGTTCTCGCTGAGGGTCTCACTATCTGCAGGTCATCAGTATTACACAGAGTCACTGAACAAAGTAAAGGTTCCTTGTAGTAACGTTGACTTTCTTCACTCGTGTCGGAAGCGCTTTCTTGATGGAATACATACTGAGACAACTCTCAGTCTTTCGAGAGAATCTGCTGACACCTGACCAAAGTAGAGAATGTGACCCCGTCAGTCAGCGTGAGCTTCTCTCTCTCAAACTGCTCCCAGCGACAGATGAACCACGCCGAAGAACAATCGCAGGGCTTTTAAAACGGTCAAGGTCAAGGCCTGACGGAGGTAAGCAACGCAATGCAGTCCTTTACTTCAGGCCCCCGTACTGTCAGAGTGAAGCACATTGACCGACACCTATTTCTGTTAAGATTAACAGAGGAATTCACAGCTCAAAGACGGTAAACAGTGCTATTAATAAAAGCTGACCCACTGATAAGAGCTGCTCTGGTACGCAAGAAACTCTCTTATCTGATTGGTCAGGAAGCACTTCCTGTGCCTTGGATGGCAACAGAAAACAGCTTTACTGCAACTCTGTTTTCACACCACCGAACCGACAAAGGATTTTCAAAAACATGCAAATGTGATAAAGAAATATGCACACTTGACAATGCATTGTGTACTTTGCGTCTGACACAATGCACCGCTTCAGCAAAGACACACGCATTCATTCCTGTGCTCTACCACAGAGAGTGCTAGCAGCTAAACGCTAAACCCATGTCAATGCTAATGGCGTCAGCATTGACATGGAGCCCTGAGGATGACGTGAAATAACCACTAAAGCTTGTGTTGCTTCAGTTCCGTCATATCTACCAACGCACGCCTCACTCACCCTGTCTTTGTCGTCGGCCACATCGCAGAGTACGTCGTCCAGGTCGAGGATGCCGCCGTCGCCGTGCTCCAACCGGTGGACCTGCAGCCAGTAACTAGCATCCTGGAGGAGAAGAAAGAGACATTCAAAAAAAACACCCACGGCCACAAACACTAAATGAGGGGAAAAATCTAAACGCACGCAAAACTTGTGGCAATTAAATGAGTTTGAATCGCACTCATCGTGACATGATAATGAGGGTGGAAGATAAATTCTTATTTTTAAGGCAGTGCTCAAAGAATAAGACTTTGGAGAATTGGTTAAAAGCGTTTAAGAACAACTTGACAGGCAGCACTGACAAGAATAAACACCAAGTATGAATGAAAGCTCCGTCTGTACAAACTTCAAAACAAGCACTTAAGCATGACAATTATTGTGTCACTGTTGGCACATCAAGAGAGGACATACACAAACACGAGGGCCGGGGGGGAATCCCAGCCAGAGCTACTGTATACTTCAGTCCAATTTCTTGTCAAATGTTTGGAGATGAAAAATAACACAAAAGTCACGCTGAGATAAAGTACAGAGGGGGTAGGGTGAGCCAACACTAGAGAAAATAAGTTGAGTGCTCACTTATTTATTAGGGGTGGGAATCACCAGAGATCCCGCGATACGATATTATCGCGATACTTCGATATTATCACGATACTGCGATATATTGTGATTTATTGCGATTTATTACTTATTTCAACTTCAAATTATGTCCCCAAAGGAAAACTGTGTCAACATGTTTTATCTAATAAGAAAGTTTTCAGTCTGTTCATCTCACTTCAATCAATTTTATTGCAGCAAAATAGGATTGTCAAGCAGACAGACTGACCAACAATGTCATAAATGTTGCACCTGAAAAACTGAACTGTTTGTATTGCTACATAGTCCAACTTAACTAAATGCAAACGTGTGGACTCCGTATATTAACTATAACTTATAGAAGTAGGATATAAGAGTTATATAACTCAGTATAACTTGCGATGCGTGGACGTCAAGGGCAGAGAGACAGTTATGCGCTGCACTCTCCCCATGAGCCTGGCTACTGTTGGCAGATTTAACGTCTTTGTGAGGCCAGATGTCTCTCTTTGTTTTGACCAACTTCTTACCAATCACGCTGACCCGGGACCTTTGCTGACCTCACCAGAAAATAACTCAGCACCATCTAGTGGACTGAAAAATTAATTGATTTGATTCTTCTTAAAAAAAAAAAAAAAAATAATAATAATTTTTTTTTAAAATAGTTTATATAATAAAAGATCGATACTTGGAGTCCATGTATCGATACAATATCGCCACGCAAAATATCACGATACTATGCTGTATAGATTTTTTCCCCCACCCCTATTATTTATACAATATTGCAGCTCCCACACACACAGCATTATGATGAATGGGCAACAAAACGTGTTTCTTTCATCGCAGTAAACACACTCATAAATGTGAACGGCAGACGATTGTGGGAATTAACGTCGTGACATGCAGAGATATAAAATGCTTACTGTATACTTTAGCAAAGACAGAATGCGTACAGAGTGCACGTTAATACGCGTCTCTAAAATGTTTAAGTGCTGCGAGTGTGTGGGCATCAACTGACGAAGTAATGAGTGGAGGCGTGACTGCTCGGGTTCAACGGGAACACAGCAGCCTCATTACCCACATGTACAGTTCCAGCCCACTGCAGAGGGCACATTATAGAGAGGGGCAACAACAACACACTCATTTTCAGGTTCATACTTGTATTTTAGACGTCTACCTGAACATGTTTATATGCTTGAATGTTAATAAAAAATATATATTTTTCTCGTTCTGTCTGAAACGCTTTGTTTTACCGCCCGTCTCTTTAAGAGCCAAGTCTGCTCTGATTGGTTAGCAAAATGTGTGTACAAGTGCTGAAGTTATTCATATTTCTCCTTTAAGTCTTTTTCCAATGTTTCCAACAAGCAATGTCCACGCTTCTCTACTAACAGGTGATCTCGAGTAAGTCCAGTGCAAAAAGTCCTTCTAAATGACAAAGAAGGACGAACGGAGCCACAAAGGAAACGAGAGGACCTAGCAGCAAACGGTTGCATTAGTATTTTCTGTGAGTTGCTTCCTGTCAGCAGCATGCAGGGACTGTCAAACCGCCTTGACAGATGTCATCGCCCGTGACAGCCTGTGTACCCCCCCCCCCCGACCATGACACGGACACCCTGTGGATTCCAGCTGATGGAGCTCAAAGACAGATCCCAGGCCTGTGTCTGCCTGTACTTTTATTCTTTCTAGACATATCCAGACCAGAGCTTCTGGAAAAATCAAAGCTAAGCTGTAAAGTTCTCATCTGACACAGAAACGCAGGAAGTAGCCAACGTTCAGTGGATCTGCAACTGTCAACAATTCACTGCAGACAAATGACTGCGTGTGTGTTTGTGTGTGTATATAAGAGCTTGTTTTCAAGTTGCTGCTGTCTGTCATTTTCTTGTTTCAATAGCAGCTATTTCAAATAAAAGGAGCCGGCATGTAAAACCCTTTCACTGTGTGATAGGTGTTGTGGGACAGTCACTGCTTTTTAATCCAATTCAGACTAAAAACAATTCAGCTTTTTAGTTTTGAATGACGAGATACCTCCTGGAAATATTAAAGTGTATTTCATGTACGTCTTAAACTGTTCAAAATGTGCCCGGACATTGAAAACATGTTCTCTATAGTTAAACCATTGTCAGATACAGTGTGTGTCACATGCGCACTGAGATATCTGAATGGAGCCTTAAACCATCGAGCACACAAACAACAAGAACAAGTGAGGCTTCCAGACCGGAGACCCCGAGCTGTCCTACGTTTAGATCCCAGAGGGGGCGACCGTGACCTCACTGGTTTAAGAGGGTTGTCTGGTAACCGCAGGGTCAACGGTTCGATCCTCGACTGGGACGTGTCACGTGTCGAAGTGTCCCTGAGCAAGACACTGAACCCCCGGCTCCCCGGGCGCCTGTCATTGGCAGCGCACTGCTCCCTATATACAGGGATGGGTCAAATGCAGAGGTCAAATTTCATGTATGTGTATATGTGTATATGACAATAAAAGGGTTTCTTCAGAGTGGTGCTATGATATACTGTGTGTGTGCTTCTCATGTGTGGTGGTTCCCTTTATCAAGTTCCTGTAGTGTGTGTCTGTTGGGACTGGGCAGGCCGTATCAAAGAGTGTATAGAATGTTTTGTGTGTGTGTGTGTGTGTGTGGGGGGGGGGGGGGGTCACGGTGCCAGACTTATGACAGGAGTCCCATATTAAACAAGGTTATAGTATGCCAGAGACGTAAACACACACGCACACACACGTGTTGGTATCTCCACATTAAAAGGATTCCTGCATCTCGAATATGGCAAAAATCACAATGAAGATATTTTTGGTGAATATTGACGGCATTTAACAGCAAAATCACGAGTGCTCTTGTAAGCAATGTAATGGTAAGTACGTTGGTTGTATAGACATGAATAGCGATGACACAGCAAAAAATGTCACAGCCACAAAGCCTGTGTTTCAACACTGACGGCACAGCGAGCACGAAGCGTTCCATCCGGACTACCTTATTCTCATCATCATTATTGTAAATCAATGAATTGCACAGCCCTGCTCACTTTCCTGTAATGCATCATATAATACTTATATTAAAAAAAAGATAATTCAAACTTCTTCACGGTCGTTTCCTCGGTGCCGTATTGAGATTCCCATGATGCTAATCTGACAGGCCCTTATCTAAAGAACTGCTTAAAAACTGATCTGAAGGGGGGGGGGGGGGGCTCGGCAGTAGGTAACAGACAGCAAAACAGTCCTGAGAAACTCGCTGCTACTCAACAGCACCATAAAATGGAAGGTCCATTCTTCTGGAAGGTCTTGGGCAAAATATCTTTCCAACTTGACCTGCAAAACCCTTGTTTTCTTAAGGTACTGCCATTTTCTCAGCCAGATAAAAGTTTAAATATCATCTTTCCAGCGCCAGTACCAGATTCGCGCCGCTCGTCCAAGCGAGAGGCGGGCTTTACTTCTTCACCACTGACTTCCTGCCGGTAGATGTGGTGGGAACAGACAGTGATATTAGCAGTTATTCATCACGATGAGCTGCATAATGTTTCCCCTCCTCCTTATTCAACAGCAGAGCAACGTCTAGAGCAACCATCAGTGTGTTGTTGCATTGAAATAAAGTCGATTTTCTTACAAACAGGAGGCAGAATAGGCAAAAACAAGAGGACAAGGAAGAAAAACATCAAACTGGGATTCTGAGCTCACAAACCAACACTCTAGAACTCAGCAAGCACTTATTTTATATCAAAGCACCAAACGGTTGTCAAGCACAATCAACTGAATCTATCGTGGCAACGCTGATTCTGATCACTTCCATGCAGCCGCAGAGGGTCAGCTGGGGTTTAAGAGGAGGACCAAACTACTAAAATGTCTCTGGAAGATTTGGACTCCCGGTCAGAGAGCGACAATGTGAGCTGTGGAGACAGTGATGACGATGATGTCGATGACCTGTCGACTTACATGGAGCTCCTCTGCCTGCACAACAATCTAATGTGCTTTGAAAACATCTACTACAGGAACGCAATCATGGACATGCAGGCAAGACAGCTAATGATCTATCTATTGAGTACTCTTTCAAAGAATCCACGATTAATAAGTTCAAATGGATTTCCAACAGTACATGGAGAGCTCTGAATCGGACAGTGAAGACGAGGAGATGGATCTCATCCGGGCCGCCATTGGTGCTATTTTTGAAGACGGAACTTCCTCCACAACTTCCTCCTCGTCCTCTTCCGGGGACGGGCAAAGCGCCGAGTCGGCCCTGAGCAGCGTCGAGGATTCTGTCCCGTCGAATGAAGAAGTGGTCCTCAACTGTTCCGCCAGTTAGTCCTAGGACAGTGTGGACTGACCCACGGCAATGCGGACTCTGACAACTATTTGCTGGATGGAGCTGGGACGCTGGGAAAGAATCCAATAAACAGTTGCATCGTTTTTCTTTGTGAAAAAGAGTTTAATTTTAGTGGAAGCTGTCAGCCAAGCATGGCCCGTTACTAAACAGAGGAAGAGCGAAGGATTTCAT